TTAAAATGAGGCAGAACTCCATTATTATCTAGACTTCAGAAGCCCCTTTGTAAGCAGAGAACTCATATTCAATATTTTTTTTTTCAAATGCAGGTATCCTCCTTACCACAGTGCACATTTACCTTGGTAAATAGACACAGGTTTTTGGGAAAGGCTTGGCTGGGTTTTTCTGACCTCCACCTTAATCAAGGCTCTGGGCCCATGGGCTGACTTAGACCTCGACACTTGGTGGGGGACTAATGTTTTCCACTACGGTTGCTAGCATCAGCTTTCTGCTTTCCAGCTCTCATTTTTTTTTTTTCCTTACGAGAATCAAGTAATACCCCAGCCAGCTGTCCATACATCCAGACCCTAGAATACTACTACCTACTATCTATACTATCTATATTGCCACAGATTCCGGTCAGTCAGATGAGATTGACTCCACCCTGGCCTTGCTGCCCGGTATGGTAATGATGCCCACCTTGCCCCTGGTAGTTTTGTGCCACCATTGGGACCCTGCCTTTTGAGAATCCTGTCATCTCCACTGATTGCCAGTTCCATGCCGTCATCGCTTGCTTCCAACAATGGTTTGCAGAGGAGAGTCAGCACTGAGCTCCTCAAAGATGCCAGTGCCACTTCACCAGCAACACTCCTTATTTGAGTCGTGATTTCTCTGCCCTCCAAAGAGACAGAGGCTGGAGGTAGGACGTCCGATCTCACATTATAAGTCGTATCTAAAAACCTACTCCCCTGGACCTTCTCGCCAATTCCTCAATTTTCTCTGCCTAGGAAGTTCCAGTATTTCCGTGTCATTTACCGTAGACTGTTTGTTGTCCACGCTTCTATAACATGCACATTATAGGGGCCCTTAAAGGGGCTGGGTTGGCCCCTTTAAGGACATCAAACCCCGAGTCACAGCTCTGTGCTCCCACGTTAATAAGTTCTCTCCATGCTGACTTATATTCTGTTCCCTGTCTTGTGGGACCAACATTCTCAAAATCCACTGGCACATATATTATCTCGCTTCATGCAAGTACATATGAGCCAGGTCCTACAGTGTGTTCTGAATGTAAAGCATTTCCCATCCAAACCAAACTGTATTTTTTTTTTCTTGTGCTGTCATCTTACCTAGTCTTACCTACCCTTGTTATTAGTCCGATAGTAATGGAAGTTAGCAGAGATTAATGTCGAATAAGAGAAGCAACATCTGTTTGGGTGGCTGCCTTAGATGAGGTCTTTGCAGGGTCTCTAGGGACAAGGAAGCTTCTCCAGTAGCAAGAGTTATGGGACTGCTAATGCCCAGGTGAGGTTTCAGGGGATTCTGGGTATTCAGTGTTCTCATGCTCATCACCTTAGTGTGTCTCGGGGTTCCACTTTTTCTTTGTCAGATCCATATGTAAATATGGAGAACTGTAAATTCTGTGCATTCCATCTCCATGCATCTCTGCCAACCAATAATTACGGTCAGGGCCTGATGTTCCACCATCTGCCTTATGACCCCCAGGAGAGGAGGTCTCCTTGATCCAGTAGGTTAGGGTGGGTGACAGGTTGGGCTATCCCATCAGACACACACACACCCATGACAGAGAACCAGTTTAGGGCCATCTCTGAGCCACCTTAAGAACTGCTCATGCTGGGAGGTATCTCAGAGTCTACACAGCCGGCCCCCCAAATCCGGCTGCACACCCCAAATGTGATCCTGGTTCAAGTGGAGAAGAGATGCATGTTCTAGGCATGTTGCCCTCTTCAGTGAATGCCTCAGGCATAAATGACACCCCAGGAGGGACCAGGTCCTCTCCCTTCACCCCAAACCAAGAGATACTCACAATCTCACAAGTATGGGAAAATCCAGGGTTCTGGTTTCACATATAGGCAATCAATCCATGATGCCGATAAATATTTCTCACTAAGAATGTGAAGTAGAGCATCACAGTCATCTTAGAAATTAGATTGTCACCTGGGTCCCAAGATTGTCATCTTCTTTCTATGGCACCTGAAATTTATCCTCAGATCAGAGTCTTAAACCACATCTTACTTGCTCTACTGACTCACAATGCTATGGATGGATGGATGGATGGATGGATGGATGGATGGATGGATGAGCGGGTGGATGGGCGGGTGGATGGGTGGGTGGATGGATGGATGGATGGATGAATGAGATAGTGAAGAAAATATTAGCATGTAGAGCCAGATCTGGCTATATGAGAAGGCTGAAGTTGAGCGGGTGGATGGGTGGGTGGATGGATGGATGGATGGATGGATGGATGAATGAGATAGTGAAGAAAATATTAGAATGTAGAGCCAGATCTGACTATATGAGAAGGCTGAAGTTGAGTGATATATTTGATTCAGAGAGACACAGTGTTTATGGAAGAACTAAAGTGTGTTGTTCCAGTGTACAAGGTCCACATAGAGCATGGAGATGGTGTGTTTCCAAGTACTTTTCAGGGCCATGAAGATGTCATTGTGGATTAGCCCAGGCAGAATGCCTCAGGAGTCATTGGTGTCTCTCAGGCAGAGCCCAAAGAAGGTTCTGGTGGGTCTGAAGCTTACACAATTTGGAAGGCCCTCTTCTAAAATGATGAAAACAAGCATGAAAGTGAGTGTTTATTTAGGATGAGAAGAAAATTCATAATAAACTTTAAAAGATGATGACTAAATCACTGAAATTCCAAAATAGTATGCACACACACGTGCGCGCACACACGTATGTAAGTGTATGTACATATATATACATATTTAGAGACACCAACTATGTAGTTGTACAATCTAAAGTATGATGAAACAGAAGTTCAAGGTGAAAGATACAATGGTTTTGTTGTGAATCAAAACAGCTAACTCTTACAAATTTTACACACACACATCTCATGGCCACATGAACACATAACATGGGCCTGTGAGTGACAGTTGACTCCCTCTAAGAATAAAAATGCACTCAGGTTCATGTTAAGCCTTTAGTGTTTATTTTCACAACAAGTTTTAAAAGTAAACTAGCTTTTCTGACATTTTTTTTTTTCCTCAAAAAAAATCTTGTTTCGAGTTAGGATAACAATTCATGGGCTTCAGAATTTATCTTTTAGTTAGATGTGTTTCATTGTATTCTGACAACAGCCATATTTAGCCAAATGGAAGATTTTCTGTTGCCCATTTCTGAGTTCCCAGGTCCTCGTCCATCTATTGCTCAAGCAGCCTGGAATGACCTACCAGCCTGCAATTACAACTGTTGGAACCTGTCAGAGCTAGTCAATGAATAAGTCAAAAGAGAAAGCTTGCTTGGTATGAGGCAAATGACTGTGTTTTAGGGGACACAGGTCCAGGACAAAGCGCACGCTTCCCTACAGTTTGTGTCACTTAGATGGGCTCCTAGCAGTGAGCTTGAATTCCTAGGTCTAAAATAGCTAAACTGTGTGTATGATTACTCTCGTTGTCTTCCACATGGGGATAAACCACTATGTGTAAAGCATCCAGTCAGTTAGGAAGACAGCCAGGAGCCTGTCTGTTTTAGGAAACCACTTAGCCACCGAACAAGAGCTACTTCCCTAAGTGGAATCTTAGGGAAGCGAAGAGTTAACCATCTTGCACAGGCTGACAAAATGTTTACTGCCTGCTGAGATTTCGTTCATCCACTTGTGGACTGCATGCAGATGACCCATTGACTTTGGATTCCAGACTGCTTTTCCAAGAACCATTTGAAGGTAGTGACAATATATAGAAAACGTCTCTGCTGTTGGCTTCACCCCTCAGGGCTATTTTTCCAAACAAATAAGCATGGCAGATCAAATTCAGGAATTATCTCAAGAAGGAATCCAATCATTTACGCTGAGGCGTCGCAAAAAGGATGAGAAATCCACGTGAAGTTTCTGTGAGCATCTATCCTGGATTTCAAAAACGATTGTGGCTTAATGTCTGACACCAGGGGTCTTTGATGTAATAAAAGAATGCGCATCCTATATTGAAATATGAAGTACTGTCAAAAGCAACGTTATGAAAACACCTGGACAAGTACACATCCAAGCAAGTAGAGGGAAGTACAACTGTTTGCAGTATTTTAACAAATTGGTTTGTGAAGCGTTTGGGAACCAGAAATGATGATGGCCGTGCTACCCATAAGTGCTAGAGATTGCTCCAAGATGAATCCAGCATGTTCCCGGGGTCTCAAATTTACAGAACATATTTACATGCCATAGCGAATGGAAGGAATCACACATTTCATACCGACAGGGCAGTGAGAGGTCGCCCTGCTGAAGTGCGGGCACAGGAGGAGTTATTTAGCTTTGCCCCTTGTTGCTGATCTCTTTCTCATTTCCTTGAGGATATTTTTATCAAATAGCTCTTTTTCCCGGTAATGCACAGGTGGCCCCTGTAGGTACCTTTGTTCTGCCTCCTTGTAGCCTAATCCATCAAGTGCAGCTATTGAACAAATGATTGCTTCTGGCAGAAGAACTTCCAGAACAAAACTCACTTTGTCATCCCTTGTCAGAGTCAGCATTTTCTTGTCTATCTGTTTGTAGATTTCTTGTAAATGTCTCACCACCACATCCAACTGGTCTTCATCCTCCAGGTATGTTTCAACGCAGATCACGTACCTGCTTGAATTCAGAAATGATGCCAGCCACCTGGACTCTTTCCTGCCTTTGACAATGTCCAGAAGATGGTGATCAGCTCCCTTTCTCTTCACGATGAAGTCCACTAGCTTCTGGTTGGCTCGGTCCCGAGCAGCCCTCATGCGGTCAGGGAGAATTTTCTTGCAGGGCCTCTTCCCGCCCAGGGAGGCCTCCTCCTCAGAATCTTCCAGGTCGGCATAATTCACCTTTGGGAAATCAATCTCCACATCCCCGTCTTGGATGGCTTTCCTAATTGGGTAACTGATGTCGGCAGCATAATAGTCCAGGAAAGAGCCTCCAAAAGACCCGCGACTGAGCCCTTCTCTGTAGTGGGAAATCAGGGAGAAACACCAGTTCGCACTTTGCTCGTACACTTTCCTGGCTCTCTTCATCAGTTTTTCTTTCTCTTTACAGTCCAGATGCTTTAATCTTCGAAGAGGAACTCGAATGCCACTCATTTCGCCGTGCATGTTTGCCTCAATCAAAAGCACCCTTGCAGTCTGCTCTGTTTGGCTGACACTCTTTACCACCGCTGGCCAAAATGGGTGATCCTGGAATTTGAACCAGACCATCATTCCTCCTTCAATGGGACAAGGCTCCTGTGGAAAAGCCATGCTTGTCGGTTGTCCCATTTCCTTGCTGACATCCTTTTTAATAGCAGTGGTGGGGCTGATAGCCTTTGAGCTGACGGAAGGCTGAAGTCCTTGCAGCCCTTTCTCAAACTCTGGTACCTGCAGCTGCCTTTTTCTATTTGCCAGACGGAGTGAATAACGCAGCTTCGGGTTAGGGGCACTGGAGGATGCTGCCACACCTTCCAAGCCTGGCTTCCAGGGACCCTCTCCGTGGTCCCCAACATTCCCGGAGAAGGCAGAGCATTCAGAGGAGACGGCCAGGGTCTTTGGGTCGGTGTCACGTGCCTCTTCTTTCAGAGCCTTGGGTACAGTGAGGTTGAACCCTGGTGGCAGAGATGGAAGGGCGCCTCCGTCTTTAGCACTTGTACCCTCCTCCTTGACTGGGCAACGCAAGGGCCTGACTCTTGAGGCGTCCCTCTTTTCCTTGCCCTCTTTCTCATAATCACCCTCTGAAAGTGACGGGAAGTTTGGGTACATGCTGGAGCTTTGTGAGGACTCCCCTTGCATTTTCCTTGGAATAGGAGTGACGGTTCTGTGTGCCCGTGGTCGGCCACCGTCTGGGGCGTCCTCACTCTGTGAACGTACCAGCAGCGATTTGAGTTTTTTGCTTTTCCTAAGACCCCTCAGTAAGTTCCCTTTGGGCTTCCGGTACTTTCTACGAGATCGCTTTTGTGGTCCCCTTTGGGACGGCTTAATGGTCTCTGGATCATCTGATGCTCTTGCTGGACCCAAATTTGCTCTCTCATTCAGAATCTCCAGTGCCACTGTAAGAGCGTTTCTGTAGGGCACTTCCTGTCCTGGTGGGACACTGGCCTCCGACTCGGCTATTAGCAAGGAGGTAATGTATTCAATTTGAGACTCATTTAGGATCTTTATGTCTGTGCTTTTCACTTCAATTTTTTCATCTACGGAGAGTATCTCAACTTTTAGAGAAAGTGCCCCTTTCCTCTTATTTTTTGGTGAGATCCTAGATCTGGACAAAACCTTTGCTGGCCAAAAATGGCCTTTCCAATTGCACAGGACATACTCAGCATCCATTATGATTTGAGTTTCCTCTCAAGAGGTAATTAACAGAGGTCGCGAGGTCTGGCCATCATACCCACAGGCACGGCAGGTCTTCCCTAAAGCAATGTTGTTCACCACACCTCTTTGGCCTGGGACCACAAAGGGCTTACGGCTTGCATGGCCTGTCCTTCTTCACCTGAATCTCCCAGGGTCGCTGGAACTTGTGTTTTGAATGGACTATACTGGAGAATACTGGAATGTGGAAAGGGAAAAGAAGAAAAGTATTAGAAAAAAATTCCTTTTGTGAAAGTAGAAGAACATTGGTCGATGAGAATTGATAAGAGATAAAACAAAGAAATATAAAGAGTGTGTATCAGACAGGGGGTAAATACATGGCAAGTATCGGGGGGGGGGGCGGGAAATGCAGAAGAGACCAGAGGAATTTTATTACTTTCCAAACCCAACTTCTTGCCCTGCTTGTTACTCCTGCAATATTAAAGAGCATCTGTGTGGGGAGGTGGGTGTCATTTTCCAGATCTCATTTGTGTTATTGGACATCCTGTGCCTTTTGGGCTCTCTGGGGCTCATCCTGGGGGAATGCTTCAGCTCTCATTTTTCTGGGGGTGCCAATGCCACCCTGTGCCACCCAAGGAAGCCAGAGGCGATCTCCAGCCTACAGACACTGAATGTCAGCACAGTGTTGTGTTCAAGAGCATGAGCTTAGAATCCAGAGGCTCACGAAGGTCATCATGGTGGTTACTGGTACCATCCTTCATAAGGATTGCTGCAGGCGTGGGCCATTGGCTGTGACCTGCCCTTTTTCATTTCTCTGTGGTGGCTTAAAAGGCTGTTTCCCCTGCCCCCAGCACATATTTGTGTAAAGAAGTGGCTGTAGAGTGAGGAGCAAGATAAACCACACTCCCCAAGTGTCATCACGAAGTGATTGCAAATGAAATGTTTAGTAAAACAGGAACGTCTTACAGAACACCACGTAGGTCGGGGGAGGCGAGGTTCTGTGAGCTGCATCTGTTGATTCACACACTCCAACTGCTTGTCCGGCAGACCCTTTACCTCTGCTCTGTGCTTCTGAAGTGCACTGTCCTTCCAGGGATCAAATGACAGCAAATGTAGATACCCAGGACCTCCTACGTACCTCTAATGTCAATCTAGAAAATCAGAAAAGCAGATGGGAAATTAAGCCGATGAGACGGGGATGGATTCATCATTTTCCCTTCCCCAACTCTGGAATGTAGCCCATTCTGAAACAGAAATGTTAGTTAAGTCTCATTTATAATGTAGACATGTCTATTTGCTTCCTTCTTTTTGCGTTTCAAAACTATTTCCACGTTAAGCTACTTAGTTTAGGCTAGTCCTCCTATTTCAGAACCGTGGGAACTACTGCTTTCATCATAGTCTTTTTTTGTCTGTCTTGGATGCGTAGATTTAATAGTAGCAGCTTGTGTGTGTGTGTGTGTGTGTGTGTGTGTGTGTAACAAAAATGGGGTCTATAAGTGTGTTTTGGTGTTTCTCAAGTAACATTAAATGGGTTTGTGGAGAACATAAAACGGGTAGAGAGAGATATATAGGAGGCAATACATTAAAGATGCTTACTGTCAATATGATGGTACGTGGGCTCGTCACACACTTCCGATGCATCCATATACACATGCCCGCACATATTACCTAGGACTACATTTCTTCACTCAAGAGCACATGTGATCACTGTTTCATGTGAATGCTGATTTTTCACATCGTTTTTGTGAATCTCTTTACAATGTGGTTTCTCTGACATTTAAAAACTTAAATACATTTCGAACATTTAGATGTGTGTAATGCAGAAAGTGCAATTGTTCTCTCAATCCCTCTCCCCACCCCCTCCCCAAGAAATACCCTGTGAATGGGTTCTACTTTTCTGTATACACTGTTCAAATATGTATTATAGTTCACTTATAGCTTTTAGGTCATCCATTATCAGTTTCAAATGGTATGTTTCACAGTACAAAATATTATTTCCCTAATAGATGCACGTATGCACAGCTTTGTTCACACATACTCATAGGTATAATATGAAATGTATGATGACTAACTATACCTACTTTGGGCATAGCCTGCACAAACTTTTTCTTGCCAGAGTGTATGATCATGCAGGTACTGTGTCCTCTGCTTTAGAGAACTCAGTGTGCTGGCTCTCAGAACACAGGTGTGATGTGAGGACACAGAACAAAAGGGAGAAGGAAAAACAGGTGATTCAGCCAACTGCAGTCTCCCTGCAGCAGGACCTGCCAGCCCCTCATACAGAACAGGAGTGCCTGAGTCACCTCAACTCCAACCAGATAGCTGCCCATCCCCAAGACACACATACACACACACTCACAGATATATACACACACCCAGAGCGATGACGTTAGAGACCCAAGATGCCTGATATCGGTGCATATAATCCATGCTTTCTGCTCTACACACGCATGCAAATGTTTCTGCTTCCAGTGCAGATGTTATTTTCAGCTCCTTTCAGTTCCTTGTTTTGAAAATACACACGGAAAATCTAAAATGCTGTTTAAAACTATAAAGTAGGGAAAATGTTAAGCATCAGTAATCTGACCACCTAGGAGGAATGTTAACTGCAAATATGTGGGTCCACAGACTCCAGCATGTTTTATTCTGTTTATACATATTTTCTATAAGATACTAAAAAGGTTTTAAAGCCATACCACCGATTTGAATATTCTCTCCTATTCACATTTGCGTACATCTGTTCAACTATGAAACACTTTAATGGAGTAACTTCCAGCGGACAGCCAAAATATCAATGGCAGTTACTTTTTCCGATTACCAAAGCAATGCATCCTTGAGAGAGGCGATCAGAAGGGAAGGGTGTTAAATGAAAATATTAAATCCTAAATGGCCTTCTCACCATATGCTTTGGGCCATTGTCCAAACAGCTTCCATTAAGGGTTGGTACCTAATATTGCAGATGATTTTCTTTTTATCTTTTGTACTAACAAGAGCACAGCTCTCTTCTTTCCCTCTAAAGATGCATACAGGTGGATGTATAGACAGGCAGATGACAGATAGATAGAGATAATGATATGTAAATGTTGATCCTCTTTTGCACACCAGGAACAATGTCTTAAAAATAGAACCTTGAATGACACTAAAGTAACTTTTAAAGTAACCCCCAATCCTCAGAGGGCTTGGATATGAAAATGTATCCAGTAACCTAGTCGGCGCTCAACAAGTATTTGCTGAATGAATGGGATAGGGAGATGTCGGTGCTCAACGAGTATCTGCTGAATGAATGGGATAGGGAGATTTTCACCTTATTCTTAGGTGAAAACTCCATCTGACCCCAAGTTGTTCTGGTCTTGGTCACACAATAACAACTTTAATTTTGTAATAAAATCTCAAGGCTCAATTTCGTCATGAGGATGCCCAGTCTCAGGCAATAATTAAAATCCTAGCTTGGTGGGCGCCTGGGTGGCTCAGTCAGTTGGGCATCTGCCTTCAGCTCGGGTCATGACCCCAGGATCCTGGGATCGAGTCCCGCATTGGGCTCCCTGCTCGGCCGGCGAGTCTGCTTCTCCCTCTCCTTCTGCCCCTCCCACCCCCGCTTGTGCTCTGTCTCTCTCAAATGAGTAAATATTAAAACGAAAAACCAGAAGGGGAATGGTATAAATAGCAACTCCGCAATCTATAACTTCACAGTCAATTCCAGACCATCAAGAAATGGAACCCTCAGATGGATCAGCTTCAACTTTTAAGTCCTGGTATAACTTTTGTTCTATTCCATTTGCTCTTTGGTTAAGGAATGAAGGAGCTTTTACAATAAAATCCACCGGCCCATCTTGCATGGAACGGCTCTTTTGTAATGCTTCTAAAATAGACCTATTTTCTTCAGCCGCATATGTGTGTGAGGCAACATATTCTTCATATACTTCAAACAAACCAACAAAATTTAACAGACTGAATAAGGAAGCAGATGGAATACAGCTATCTTCTATGAAGCCAGACATTAACAAGACTTGCAAAAATGTAAAAACAATGCCACTCCTCTTACAACATTTAAAAATTTTTTGAATATAGTTATTTTCTTTTTTTAATATCACTACCAATCTCATTAGAATATAGTTATTTTCATAAAAATGTTATTATGTTCACATATAATGATTTTATTTTAAATGAATTAATGAAAATTTGAAAATTAAAAAAAATGAATGAAAGAACTTCATGGCAATGAGTATTTATTTCTCCAATCAACGGCCATGAGTTTTGGAAGAATTATTTTGGAAGCTTTATTCCTTAACTCTTTTGCCCAGTGAGGGCTGTAATCATTTCCAAAGAAAGAAGAAGACAATACTCTGAAGGTATTGTCTCAAAATAAGGGCACTTTCCCTGATATGACTCCCGTACCGCCCCCCCACTCCCCAGAGGCAGGAGTTCTCTCATCTTTACCCCAACACCCCTTCATGTCTTCCCTACAATTGCTGCTTATTTATTGGAGCTTTCTCTCTCTCTCTCTCTTTTTTTTTTTTT